GGGGGGGGGGTCCCTTGCAGCCTATCACACTGGCCAGGAAGCAGCTACAGCAGCCCAGAAGTGGCCGCAGCAATTCCCACTCCCTGGCTGGCACTTGCAGTGGGGGCACCAGTGCTCCCACCTGCCCCCCTGCCTGTTGTCTGAGCCGGGAGTGCAGCCTGTCAGGGGGTGCACATGCAACCCCGTGCACCCCCTCCACATTGCCACTGGTAAAGGATTAGGGTGTTATGAAGAAAAGCCTGTGAGAGAAGTTACCAAACCTGTACATCCTCAGTGCTGACATCGGTTATCCCATTCCAGCGATAAAGAGTAGCAATGTGATTCAACACTTCAGCAGTGAAAAAACGCACCTTCTGAGTCTTAGTGATGACTCTATTTTGAACCACCTGGAAAAAAAGGAAGAGTTTATTGTAAATTATTGTGAAATTTAGTAATTTTATGTATTATTTGTAAATTATTGTGAAATAGAAACTAACAAGTCTGTTAAAGCAGCTGATGGAGTTCACTAGTGATACATTCTGAAGAGAAAGTGGTGCTAGAAACACCGAGTGGGTGTACACTAGAAGTCCTATCCCGCATGAATTAGTTTCGTCTTAGAAATGCCCAAAAGCAGAAGACCACGCCAGAGTCCCAAATATAAGCAGGTCAGTCCCACAAAAGTTCACTCTAACCAGGAAACAATGTGGGATCTTATGGAACCCTACCAAGCCTCTGTCTTTACTTAGGGACTTATTGTAATGACATAACTCTGAGCAGAAAAACAGCTACCTGGACCCTGTTTTTTCCCCAGAGCCCCTAAGCTTTGCTAAACTGCTGCTCCAAAATGCAACATTGTGTACTTTAGCTATATTTTCAAATGTATGAGTAATAATTCATCAGATTTACTGAGGGCAGAGCACCTCAGTGCAGTGTGCTATATACATAGTAAAACACTGCTCCCACTGGGAACAATGGCAAAAGTCCAGTTCACCTCCAAGGGAACAAGATTAGTCCAAAACTAATGAGGACTGGACACCAAGACAGCTCCAACCCATCCAAAAGGTAAATGAGATATGCAGTATACACAATGGTTGTTATAAAAGACGAGCAAACAGCTTTAAAAACTTCACAACTCTTCTCACTTCTTTCAAAATTCTACATAAATAGATACAACATGACAAGCTTGAGATATCTTTATACTTTGGCATCAAAGCTATGATAAACCATTCACTAATACAGGGGTTGCCAACTGGGAGTATGCATACCACTGGGGGTATTTAGAAAGGGACTAGGGGGTATGTACGGACAGGGATGAAGCAGAGCCACCCACCAGCCCGCTCCATCACCTCCCAGGAGCAGGACTGGGGATGGCGAAGGTAGCAGCTCTCCTCTCTGGGCTACACAGGCACCACCTGGCTGGCCAAACGGGGGGGAGGGGGGCGGCGGGAGAAGCTTGCATGCAGCTGCTGCTGCTGCCATCCACCACCCTGTGCAAGCCCCCTCTCCCCCATCATGTCCGGCCACCGCCACCCCCCCACACCCTCAGAACGGCACCCAGAAGGGGTACACTCCTTTAAAAAGGTTGAAAACACCTGCACTAATACAACTGCTGGCAAACCTTTAACTACAGGTCAATGCCAAAGCAATAAATTGGTGTATTTTCATTTTTAAGAAGGCACTGCGAAGCAGACAGTAAGGGTCAAAGCCATTGCAAAGGTATGCCATACCTTGGTTCTCAAAGTGGAAACTAAAAGATTTATTGTAGAAACTTTATCTTCCTTCAATCCAGTACGAAAGATATCTGGAATGAAATCTAAGAACATATTTCAAATGTCAAAAGTAATTTCCTGAAGATACGCAGCATTTTAATCTCACAGTAATTTCTGGAAATTTCCATTTGCCTGTCTTCAATATTACGCTACTCATCTTTCCTGGATTTCAAGGTAAACAGCGACAATGTCAGTAATAGCATGAACAATAAATTTATTGCTTCAGTGATGAACAGGTAATGTACATACAGGTAATATGCAATACCTACTATGAGACTAATAAGCTGATTATTTGACTCCATTTTTATTTAATATTGACATTAGCACTGAGAGACTTCTACTAAGCTGAGGTCCTACTGTGCTGGGTACTGTCACTGTAGTAAATAACAATGCCACTCCTGAAGGATATCCAAATGATGAATTTCATGAGACTATTATGGGACCTGATCCAAAACCCACTAAAAGTTGAAAGTCTTCCCCTTAGTTTCAGTGGACACTGGATCAAGACTATAGTATGTAATGTCAAGTATACGCATAAGTTTTTCACGATCTAGAAGTCCTGGCTTTTTCCCTATCAATTATTCTATGCCGGGGCAGTGTGGACACTCTTTCCTGTCTATAGCACCTCAATAAAAGCTTGACAAGATGCAAAGAACTTGCCAACAGCCCTCTGAACTGGGGAAAATGCACAGTCAAAGGGCACAGACACCTTCCGCAGAAAGATGAACTTCACTACATCTCAGGACTGGATCTTACAACTTCTTAAATATATTACTTAAAATATAGGCAGAACATCCAATATTGCTCTATTAAAAACAAGTTTTGCAATCTCCTACATCCTCTGACTTTTGTGACTTTGAAGATACTATATGCTTATTTACCCTGAGCCATCCAGTGCTTCCTATTAATTCTTTAACCTCTTTGAAGTCAGTATAACCAATATGATCAACATTATTTTTAGCCAGAACAGCCAAAAGTGTTATGATGCGTGGAAAATCCACACTTTAAAAAAAAAAATTTTGATTACAAATGTCCTGCCTGCTTGATAATGCAGTTTAACTGGTTCATGTTTTTAATCATCTTTAAAAGAGGTTTTGTTAAGAAAGACAATAACTGTGAAGTACCTTTTAACTCTAGCACTTGTACTAGAATTGTGTTGTCACCAGCAATTAAAAAGGAGAGAGCAAATTGAATATAGGCCATTCGGACATCATATCTCCCCTTAAAGAAAATTAAAAAACATATTTAGCATAAATATTCCACAGAAATGCAAAATAAGTAAAGCAGAAACAAGTTATCTTTATAAAATATACACAAAAGAAATTGTAGAGACACATTTTCTATATATAAACATACATTAGTTTTTCTATTAACAAAGCCATTGTTTGAAAAACTTCGCAAGGTAGCCAGAACACAGGCTTTTAAGTTTGACTGTGCCGTGGAAGATTGGCTGGTTTGCTAATTTATTGATTCTGAATGAGCGGACTAAGATAGAGATAACCTCTTTGGTGGTCTCATTCTGTTCTGTTCACTGTATATCATTGAACCACCAAAGTGGTACTTGAGACACCTCCCTGCTTCATGAAATGAACTAAGGACTGAAATTAGAAAGATGCTGCTGGTCACAATGGGAAGTAAGAGCCAAACCCGTTGACCAACCACAGAATCAGACCAATCTGAATTGTGATTTCTGGAACACAATTGCTTAATTCCACCCAGAAGAGGAAGATGCATCTCAAAATCTCTAAAGTCAAGTGTTCCCTATGGAGAATTGTGAAACAGCTTTTCTTGTGAAAGGTGACACACAAAAAAAGGGAGGGAAAAGAAATAAATGGTGGGCAGAGACTGAAAGCTTGTATCAGAAAACACCAGTTTGTTTTTCACATGATTTTTACACTAAAACCTAAAGTTGGTTAATGAAAGAACATCATCACAACTGATAAACAACTGAGAAGGGGAAGAAATTTCAGTCATTATTTCAAACTCATTTTGTTAATAATACTCTCTATTCCCACATCACGTGGTCAAAAGAATCTTTTGAGTAAAACCCAAGCCCTTCAATCAAAGTATAAAAGTTAACAAAGGTAGGGCCTGAAACAAAACCAAAGAACAGCAGACTTGACGTTCCTAACATATTTAACATACAAAACAAGTGGCAAGACAGAAGAGAGATATAAGAATGTTTTCTCCTGAAACCACTTTCCCTTAACACCATAGACTTTTTCCTTAAAAATGGGTTTATTTGCAGGGCACTTTTAAATAACTCAGTTTATTAATTCTTCCCTCTCGTATTATTGAGCCTCGAACACAACTGACACCTAACCTATTCATAATGAGACTGAGAAATAAAATGCACCAGTACATAAAACAACAGTATACATAATGCGCACCATTATATTTAGCATAATATATGCTCTTCTTTTCAAATACTGGCTCCATTTTTCCCTGTTTACGTTCAGGGGGAAAAGCAGAGTAAAATTCCACTCTGGAGAAAAGGAAACACTGTTTCTACTGCTGGCCCTCCCTCCCTCTGTCCCTAAGAAGCTCTTCCAACAAGGTGCTTTAAACCATTGATTCTGTTTTACACGGCAGTAAGGTAAACCTTTCAGAAATACGGAGTAAATTGCTGTTTCCACTGTAGAAACATTCACTTTGAAAGATCCTCTGATGCTTCCCCTTCAAGCAAAAATGGGAAACCCTAAAACAGATCAGCATGTGCGCCAATTACAAAGAATCACAGATGTTTTAGTTTGAGATTGTTAGTTTAAAGAAAGAAAGGGACAGGGACAAATAACTGTGGATGAAAACACACCAGAAGGGTTTTACCAACAGCTTAGTTTAAAACTCACAAAAAGAGAACATAAGGTAAAATAAAAGACATTCCATGGCAGCTCACTTGATTCTGACAGACACTTTGCTTACTTTACCTTCTTGTCTCTTTTTTTCACTAATCCAGGCAAGAATTTATTATTAAAATCAAAATGACTATAGACGTCCCTTGCTGAATCTGGGCCTTGGGCCACCATCGCTGATAATAAGGTGAGGCATACTCGAGTCAACCTTCATAAATAAGTTGGAAAAAATTGTGTTACTCTGTGAACAATGACCTTTGCAAAAACTGTAACAGGAGAACTAACATGTCACTAACAGACGTTAGTCTGATCCACCTACAAACTCCAATTCCAAAAGGGTCAGTTCCAACGTAAAGCAGGCAAAGTCAGGAAAGCTACAACCACATCAAACCTGACCTCCAGTCCTACTGCATCTCTGGTTGAACAAAAAACTAAACCCTCCTGACACTAGCTTAAGTGAAAAGCACATGACTTCACTATTCATAAAGAACTGTAGCCAGCTTTACTTTCAAATAAGCTCTCTCTCATATAAGGTCTCAGTTCTGCAACCACTTGCACCCATTTAATGTTGCTATCATCACTTTAAGAGTTAATAACATTGGGGATGAGAAGGTCAAGTACATATATAAATGTCTGCAGGATTCAGGCCTTAATTTGTTCCTATTTAATACGAGCTTTTCATCTTACTGCTATTGTATCCGACTGCAGGAAGAGAGTTGTGTCCCTGGATCAAGTCCTTAGGCCCTTGCTTAGTTTTCACTCATGTTTTATTCTCAAGCCTTATACACTGAGCACAGTCCTTATGCACAAACATACCAAGGGGGCAGTCATCAGTTTTCCAGAATAAGATCAAAAGATTGTGCACTAAGAATGAAGATCTCAGTCCTACAACCACATCGTTTCATAGTTTCTAGGGTCGGAAGGGACCTGAGCAGATCATCAAGTCCGACCCCCTGCCATGGCAGAAAAGAGCACTGGGGTCAAACGACCCCAGCAAGGTGTACATCTAGCCTCCTCTTAAAGACCCCCAGGGTAGGAGCCAGCACAACTTCTCTTAGAAGTTGGTTCCAGATCCTAGCCGCCCTGACCATGAAGTAGCGCCTCCTGATATCTAGTCTAAATCTACCCTCTGCCAGCTTGTGACCGTTATTCCTGGTCACTCCTGGCATATTCCAAAGGGAGCAAGATGAGGATTGGGATCAGGCCCCATGGTTCTTAAGTGAGCAACACTGTATTTATGGGCTGCAGGATCAAGCTCTGAAGCTTCAACGTTAGGATGCTATCGTTCATAAAATACACCTCAGGAGATGATACAGCCATGGCAGATATCCTGACTGAATACTCCAATAATACAATGAGCCCTTTAAGTTTGAGACAGACATCCTAAATACCCAGCAGCAAATTATTCTGTAATCATTACATTGCATATCCCTCTACTGAAAAGGCCATAGGAAAGGTCCAAGGATGTGTCAATCATGAAACATGTATTACCAACGTGTCCAATTTCGCTCATGAAAGTAAAAATACCCTCCTTGAAATTAATAGGGCAGCTTCCTCTACACAGTCTGGAAAGATTACCCCAAGAACTACACTTTGGTGTCATTTTTAAGTAGACAACTCTGTGAAATCAAAAGGTTTACTTATCTGATTTTATTTAACCTGCCTATCATGGGTTATCTGGATTGCTTATACGAAGTAAATAAATAATGCTAACCCAATGGTGCAAATGAAGGCAAAAAGACAGCATGGTTCACAGGCCTGAGCACCACCATGACTTGCATTCTAACTAATCCTGCAGCAGTTCAATAGCCTGAAGCAAACTGCTTGTCCTTTCTGTGCTTTGCTTTCCTTCCTACCTTTGTCTCTCTCTCCTCTACTTAGCTGTAGGCTCAGAGACACGGTCAGGGTTTCACTACTGGATATGGGCAGCACCTAGCATAATCCCTATCAGATGATATTTGGAACTGTGAATTTACAGATAATAAAAAAATGGTGAAAGAAAGTGAAAGGACAAAACAGATAATGACATTACTTCAAGGACTTGTTAGAAATGTGGACTCTCAGATATCCTCAGGGCCTGACTGCCACCAACAGGGTCCCTGAATCAGCAAGTTCTAAATCTGAATGACATCCAGGACGTAGAGCAATAACCACCCACCCAACCTCAACAACCAGGCAGGGAGAAAGCATGAGAAACAGGGCCTGGGTTAGAAATAAACCCAATCAAACAAATCTCCACTTTTAAGAGGCAGGAAATAGTGCTGAAGGAAAGTTGGGCTGGTGGAAAATTCTATCATAAATGTGAAATATTTCATGAAAAGAGGAGGGAAAGGAGCAATCAAACACAACATTTTTTTGTCATTACCATAGCATTCTACTCAGCTCCTGGGAGTAATAAAAAGATCTTTGCCTATCCCTGGCACCTAAACTGGGCTTCAGGTCACAAATGATGTAGCTGGGATCCCCACAACACACAAAACCAAGGAATGGAAAATTACAACCTTGGCTAAAATCAAGTGCAACATTACACCCTTGTGCTTAAAATTACATGATCTAAGTAACCCCTTTAAAATCAGGGGGGCTTCTCAGAGCAGATCAAACTGAGTATGCATGTACATATAACGCTCTTTCCATCACCCAAGATTACTTTTTCAATATGCAGCAGACTCACCTGTGACTTTCAGAATATAAAGCAGCATAAATTAATCTCATATAGCTATTAATCAACTTCTTTACTATGTTCACCCCCACGACAGAAAAATGGGAGAGGTCGCTTGCTGTTCTCAATAAGATGGTTTCCAACACTTGAAAGATTAACAGCATCTGCAAAGTTCAGAAATATTTTGAAACATTGTTTTAATTACTTTCCCAGATATCCCTATACAGGCAAATACAGCAGAGAAAATTAAGACATGTGGTATCATAAAAGACAAGCTGTACAACAAGAGGAAAAGCTTCCAAACATGAAAATAAAAGTTTCTCCCCCAGGTTCTTAACACTGATATACCGTGCTAAAAGGAAGGACCCTATTCAACACTGTAAAGGTGACTAGTGACCAGTCACCACCTCTCTGCATGTCACATAAGGGCAACACCTCTACTTAACTCCCAGATGCTAAAATGAAGCAATTCAGTGCTGCTAAGTGCACAGTGAAGTAAAAGGGAAGCAGCCATCTGAGTCAGTCACACACTTCCCATCCTGCACAGAGTTCCACACAGATTAAACTCTGTGCCCACAAACAACCGTACTGCATTAAGGGGGTGGTATACACATGCCAAACTCAGTAACATCAGCAAGTAGGAGAATATCCACTCAGCATGCCTTAGCTAGGTCAAGAACCACTATAGAAACAGTTTTACTACTGTACAGTTAAGACAATGTATACCTGAAATTAAAATGAACTCTCAACTTAAAGCAAACTTTACTTAAATTAATATGTTAAATAATTAACAGCAGGAGAATTTTAAAAATTAATCCATGGGTCACTGTTTATTTACCTCTCAGCTCAGTGTAAAACTAATGTCAGTTTTTAACTTCTAGGTCTTAGCACTACAAGATGCACATACTGAATACTTTACAGCATCTACAAAAATCACTTTACATTGGATGTTTTTTATTTATGCAAACACTTTAATTGGCCTGTTTTATAAATACTTATTTTGAGGTAAAGATCCTGAAGAGTGGGACTTAGTACAACTATTCATAGTACATGAAGTTAACCACACATTAGCTTTTGCCAGATACCTTTAATTTTGCATCAAAGTTAAAAGGACACTGCCCAGTAAACCAACTTTTTGGCTAAACAGATTTCAAAAAGATTTTTTTAGTTTCTATTTACACTTGTATTAATTTCTTTATAAATTAAACATCCCGGCACACTTTACTGTCCATTACAAATATGATCCACATTGACAACTTACTTCGCTTTCAGGCCTTCTTTCGCCATCTAGAAGTTTGAAAATTTCAGCACACTCCACAGAAATTTTTATGTATCCCTCCACAACATCATATACATCAGCAGAAGGTAGTGTTTTAGCTATGGAAATGAAAGTTTCCAGACCTGAAACAGAAAACTTTATCAGAAATACACTCTCCATAAAATAGATGCTAGTCTTATCATAGTTTCAGTATTATAGGTCAGAGCCCATGGGAGAAGCTTTTCTAATGCAGCTTGGGAAAGTCAACATCCAGAGCACCTTAGACTTGCATCCTAGAACTGTTAACATTTTTTTCTTTCTTGTTTTAAATTCATCTCTCATGTTATGCACAGGATTTCTAGTCTACGAAAATAAAATGAGGAAAGCTACAAACAGACAATACAAACAACTTGTTCTCTACAGCAGTGGTCTCCAAACTTTTTTGATCGCGCACCCCTATCAGTAAAAAAATTTTGAGCACGCACCCCCAATATATGTATATTTATATAAATATAAATAGAAGTTCTAATATTTTCTTCCTGCACCCCAATGGATCATCGTGCGCGCACCCCACTTTGGAGACCACTGCTCTACAGAACACATCTGGACAGAGGACAGAAGCTGCCTGCAGGTACATCTACTCCCCGCACGTTTTTACTTCATATCATTTTCAGCTCACCCACCTGCAGGACATGCAAAGGTTTTCACCCCTTTCCTTTGGC